CTTTGTTCTGAATGATGCTTTGATGATTCTGGATCAGTGAGATTCCCATCCTACAAGTGCATTTCGTGCTACTTTGGACAGTATTAGAGCAACTCCCTGAGTGTGTGGAGCATTTTCCTCTTCGTGACCGGAGTATAGCAACATCTCTTCCGTATCTAGCTTTTGTTGTCCATCCCGCGTCCTATGTGCTTCACTGATTCCAAGTACCTCCATGTTGTGTCTTCATTTTGTCAGCGACTTGGATGACTCTCCCGGTCTCCCACGTTGTACAAGCATTCGATGTACCTAAATTAATGGTTGCTCTGGTTGTCAGAAGAGGCATCAGCCTCATGACTTTCGAAGGAACTCGGCTTTCACCATGAGGCGTCATAGTTCTTCTAAATGAAAACCTTCTAACTCCCAGGGCAGGGTTTAAATGGTTTGAAATATGTTTTCTGATTAGCGTTTTTTAGCGAGTTAGTTTTCTACGGGATGGGGTCGCTAACCCCATGCCCAACCCCCCACCTTTACCCGGGTTTGGGACCGGCAGTAACTCTAGAAGAGCTACAGACGGAGTTTTTAATTAATATTGTTTCGTTTATATTCCATTGGGATAAGTGATTTCAATAATTCTTCTTATTTTGATTCCCTCTCAAATTCGAACTAGATAATTTTCAATTCGGTCATGTGTTAATAAGTACCTGTAGGTTTTTTATTTCCCTGTTTTATTGGTTTATCGATGGTACCATTTGTATTTGCACCTTTTGATTACTGATAAAGCAAACAAATATACTTATTTTACTATAAGATGGTGTTTGAGGGTAGTTGGCAGGAAACCTTGTACCTATGCTTTGTGCTACTTGGCACTCGTCAGCAAGGTGTACCTTTAATCTTGAGGGAACTGATACTCTCTTATGGATTCGATCCCGTGTCACCCAGCCACATTGCCACATTGAAACTTGGTAGATAGGATTCGATCTGCATTGAGAAGGACCTGACATACATGACATTAATCACCACCCAGTAATCAATCAATTGTAAATACCTATTTTCCTAAATAACTTGATTAATAATTCTTTAAATATTTTACACTTAACTAAGTGATAATGATTTTTCAAGTAATAGAAATAAATGAAAAACCATGGTGAGTTTCAAGAAGACACAATTAATTATTAATTTACAAGTATTTATGTAAAAGAGAATCATTAGAGAATTAATTCTCAAGAGCATTTGCAAAATCAACTTTAAAATGTATATGTTAATGCTAATAGTAGTCGTTCAGATAGCGTTTAAATACTTACTCAGGCACATAATGTATGTTCAAAGTAAAACATCAGTAAGTTAACTAGTTACAATGTTGTGTATGTGTACGTAGGTACCAAAAACGAATAATAAATAAATAAGTAAATAATTAGAGTACATAACAACTAACTGGATAACTGTGAAGGGATTACATTTTTACCAGTCAATCATTGACAATAGATAGCATGTGAGGATTCAAGTGATTGTAGGTAACTGACTTTTTAGCTGATCGAATGTACCTCAAGAAAGTTCCAGACTCCTACCTGAAGCCTATCAGGATTTCATCAAAAGACGTTTCACAGACTTGATGTAAACAGACTAGATTAAATAGGCAAATGTATTACTGAGTGTGACATCATAATGAAAGTTGAGTTATTTAATGGATGAGCCTTCTCATTATGACTATTATGTGTATTTCATTTTAGAATGTTTGTTTAGGTAATACATTTTTCACATGTATTACTGGAATGAAAGGCATCAGCCGGAAACTTTTAATTTTTAGGTGGAAATTCTGTTGATATGTAAACGGTGTATGTATGATTATTTACAGCACCATAATGGAGTGATTATAATAGTCTGGAACTAGAAAAAATCAGACGAAACTAGAGAGCACGGAACAACAAAAGCAGTTATTAATACGATTATTTTGTTTACGACAGAATCCCTCGACCTTTTAATAATTGTCCTATCCTCACAGCTTACCCTTCTTTTACATATTTAACCCCACGCGCCATCACTGTTAATAATTTGAGCTCATGAAGTGTTATTCCTGTTCTCCTGGAAACAGACTATAGATTACATGTCAGAGCTTTTAATTCCCGTGACCTATCTAGTGTAGGTATAACATTAAGTTCTAAGGCAGAACAGGCTGTCCTAGACTGGATCTCAATACACAATCGCTTGTTCATCGTTCGGTTAAACAGGACGGTACAATCTCAGAAATATAGGAACGTACTTTGTTGCTTTTTCTTTGTCTCTGTTTACTCACCCAATGACTGCAGCTCGGACAAAGTTATTGATGGATTTTATGGTAAACTATACAAAGTTCGTCAAAAAACTAAGTGCTCTGATATAGTGATAGTGGTGGGTGGTTTCAGTGGTCAAGCAGATAGAGCAAATCAAACCAGAAGGTACTTATATAGATCTTATGGTGTCGCGGCTCAGCAAACAGATAATGGTGACCTTCTGCTGCAACTATATTGAGATAACAGTCTTTTTTTTCAAACAACAAATTAAAACATTAGGAGAAAGGTCATTTGACATAACGACCTCCACAATTGACTAATCGATGGACTTAAACAGATTTCATTTCTCCATTGAGGACTATCACTCATTCTGGAGCACATGTTTGGACCCATATAATGCTCTGTTTCGAGCACATGTTTGTAGGAGTCAGATTGGACGTAGAGAAGCCATAGCAAGAAAGTCTCTCAAAGTTCAACTTAATAATGAAAAAGTCAAGAATATATTTCAGGAACAATCAAAAGAGTTAGTTAAACACAAAAATGATATCCACTCTGAAGTGGCTCGGTATGATTTTCAAACAGTCTGGGGAAACAGCAGTGATACTTACTAGCAACTTAAAGCGAAATGTTTGGAAAATCAGTGGATTTGAGTGACATTCACAGAACTGGTAGATGCTCGGAAACTCATCTCGTTTGGCTCAGAATATGACAAAGAGCGGAGAGCGCTAAAGAGTAGCCTTATAAGAAAGCCCACATAATGATCGTAAGCAGTGTCAGGTCGCGAAAACAGAAGAGATGGAAAAAGCTGCAGCGAGATGCAACAATAGAAAACTGTTCAGACCTATCAAGAAAACAGGTATTAAAAATACAACTGTCAGTGGAACTATTTCCAAAAGAACAGGACTATTATTCACTCTCAACCCAGGAGATTGAACCAATGGGCAGAACACTTTAGGGGACATTTCAACTGGACTTCAGCCACGTTTCAGTCACATAACATCTCCAGGCAGCCTGAATGTTGAGTTGATGTTAGGCGTCTATAACTTAGTGAGGTTGAAAATGCTATGAACAATCTAAGGCGAGAGAGAGCAACAGGGCCTGATGAATTAATCCCTGGAAATTTTAAGAATGCAGATCCATCATTAGCAGTTAAATTAACTGAAGTTTTAGCTAAAATCTGGGATAACAATCAATATATCAATGCCAAGGTTTGACTGGATAGTCCCAAATAGATTGAGCATTGGGTCGAAAGTTATTAATAAATACACTTACTCTAAAGAGTTGACTTACACGAAGTCACAAAACGTTAGAAATACGATTTTTCTACATCCGTGCTGTCTACTGTATCCCATGCTTCCCCCAGGTGTCGACGTCTTCATAATCCAGTCGATCACCAGGAAAAAGTGAAATGGTGAGAGTAAGCAGCCTTGCCTGACACCGGTCTTTACTCGCTAAACAATGCTAACGAAGAAAAATAATTCAAACCGTTCAAGCTCTGTCCTGAGAGTTAGAAGGTCATCATTTGAACGAAGTACTTTTAAAATATGTTTGGGCTCATATCGGTAAAATCCCAAAGTATTAATAAAGAACGCGAATCCGCGTCAAGTATTTGACTATTTATTTATTAGACTGATGAATAAATTTCTTAAATTAAAGTGATTTCTTTTATAAGATTTAAGGAAAAGCGCTTTAAAATGTGTTGCAAGTCTCATTTTCATGGTTCAAAGTAGATCACTATAGTCATGAGCGCATCTATTCTAGTTTCTCAAGGATTTTGATCAAATAAAATAAAATAAAAAAAGCTTCATGATATTCTAAGCTGATATACCGTTTCACAGTATTATAATATTTTATTAGTTGAAATCATGAGTCAATTGAAGCTAGACTACCATGAAAAACTTGGAAGCACTGAGCTGCCCTTTCGTCTCAGTATGGAACTCCTCAGCAGTGCGCATCCAAGATCCCACCCCCTGCAAGATTCTAATCCAGGACCTATCGGTCTCACGTGCAAGCGCTTAGCCACTAGACCACTGAGCTGGCCAGCATTCAAAGGTGTTAATGTCTAAATTCAACCAATCCACGAAATCGCTCCACCATCCACCATTGTCTTCAGTGTGTTACTATCTCATAACAGACCTGGTTGAACTCCACTGGTCACTGCTTCTCACCAGAACTACAGAAAATACAAGTGACTCATGATTTTAACTATTAAAATTACTATAATATCCACAAAAGCCTGTTCTGATATTATAAGATTTGTTGATTATGAATTAACTAAACGATAGTACATATATCAAATGAGACTTTAAAAAATATGAGTTGGTTTCTCACAAATGTTTCTCATTTGATACTCAGTTGCTGAATAATTTCGTTATTTTCGTTACCTTTACATTATTCTATAATCTCAAAACTAGAAAAGTATATTTACTTTCGTTTAAGAATTGATTATTTTATCCAATTAGTTTTGTAACTCAAGGTATTGAATAAGTTTTCAAGGTTTCTATGGGACCACTTAAAATATAATCCCTTTTTTTTCAGATAAAACTATTCACTGTCTATCTCTTATTGATTCTGCTTAATTTTTATGTATAAAAAAATAGATGTATTATCACTCTGTATGCAAAATAGTTTCCGTACGTTTCACATTTCTACTTAATCATTGCCCACTAATGTAACTCTTCTAAAGAGATAACCAATCACAAATGAGATTGATGTTAACGCTAATTTTAAATTGTGATTTGATGCACTGAAATATTGACAAACACTGTTTTTTTTGACTATATAAATTCGAATTCTGTTAGTGTATTGACTTGAATTCTGTCTGATAGATTAATTATCGAAAGTAAATGTCAAAGCAAGACAGTAATCTATGTGTAGACGATAAGTCAGCTACAAAAACTGCAGAACCGTCTCATAAAAAATCACTTGGTTGTTGTGGAGAGTATAGGCGTACTGTAGCTCATGGCCTATTTCGAAAGAAACATTTCAAAGATATATTTTATAATGATCTCAATAAAACTTTAACAACCATAAGTTTGATTTTTTATGGCTTAGGTAAGTTTTTAGTAAATATTTTGAAGTATCGTTTACTTATATATTTCATAATATTGATTGCGTTAAGACGTCATATTACATTGATGAAGTCAGCTGTTCAATATTCCTTAGCAAGAAGTCATTTTTGCTTATAACAGAAACAATGTACTGATTCACTTTTTCAATTTCATGCTCTTGTATGTTTTAAATTTTCAAGAGACTTCTTAATTGAAAAAGTGAAAATCTTTCATACAGTAAAAATGTGTTCTGTAACAGAGATAAACAGACAAAGATTACTGCTTGAATTTAATTTTCATCGGTATCTGCTGTTACAATTTCAATTTATTTATTCCTTATATCTGCCGAATTTTACTGGAAACTCATTTTATGCATAACATAGAATTACAAAATTATTCTTTAAGTGGTTGCAAATGTTAAGATGATTTATCTGTAAGTTATTATCATAAACGATGGTAACTAATCATATTCGGTGTCCAAATACGAAGTATAATGTGAAGAAGAAATTGTCTTGATACCATAAACAAGAGTGATAACAAGTATTAAGCAAACGGTTATGTAACACAGAAAATGATAGAAGTTCAATAAGAGATTATAATAATTTTATTGGTGGTCAATTACATAATTTGTATTTATTGGAAAAGAAAATTGTGATGACAAAGTAGATCGTTTAAATAACCTAGTTTATACTCGTACAATACAAAAAATTAAATGTTGTTAAGAGAAAGCTTAATTTTTGATTCACTAGTCCCTACTGGCGGAATTAGATTTTAAAATGAACTATTTTCCAGTGGAAACTTACAAAACTATTTGTTATTAGTTTATTTCCCAAATGAGAATAGGTAATTTTTCCAAGTCAAAGAATTATCGCAGCTAGAGATAAGATAATTGCTTCGTTTTCTGAGATCATCATACACTAGTTCCATTGATCTCAATACGTGGAAAAAGCTTAATTTCTGAGAGTCAATAGCGTCTAAAGCAAGGTTATTAAAATACTATTTCAGTAATAAATGTAACTGACATTTACTGGGTGATTATAAAATCATTAGAAAGTTCAACAGACAGAATTCCATTAAAATACAAATTACAGTTTTATAGAAGACGCTTATTAGTTCTGTGTATTGGTGAAATGATTTTCGAATAGAATAAGAAAATATTGGCAGATACACATGTCTTGGCTTTAAACCTTGAATAAAGTGTGAGACTTTCGAACCGTTACATTTATTGCTTGGTTGCTCAGGGAATACATGTTAACCTTATGAATGGTAGTTCTCGATTATTTCGTGAATAACTAAAGAAACGTATTGTACGAAGTAACTGATACTCATACAACTTGACTCATGGTCGGATGAATATACACAAATGATAACTTGTTTCCGGTAAAGTGGGATAACAACTTTTGAGGATGGCATTTTGTTTGCATCCGTGCAAACAATCGGTGGGCCCTATAAGACCTGGTTATTAAGGGTCCATTTTTTGGTAGATCATAATGAACAAAATATCTATGAAGAGCTTGTGAGCCAGGTAATAAATTGTTGTTTGCTACTTTACAACTCTGAATCACGGTGACTTTATCATAAACTTTTATGTAATACCCCAACTTAAAAGCAAGAATAAGAGATTTTTTCTTAAAGAGAGCAAGAACGAAGATTGGTGCAGAGTAATATGAATTTATTTTATTTCGTTAGGTTCTCATAAGCTGCTTGCAACTTATACATACGAGAGTGATGAAAGATGAATATATGTATCATGATGTAGCGAAGATTTCAAGAGTTAATAAGGTTAAGATAACAACGGGAACTATGTGTAAGAGATTTTCCATTTAGCTAGATCTGGCGTTTGTGACTTAAGAATGAAAACCACATTTTTGAAGTAATTTTAGGGTTATTTTGTTACCTTTCATCTTAACTGGTTGTTAATATCATGGTTCAGACTTTTAAAATACCACAAAAAGTAACAAGTGTCTAGAAGGTGAATGTGCTGGAACAACTGGTTTTACTAAGTGATTTCCAACAGATTTATATCTTCATTAACAACTTAACACAATGTCAGTAACATGATCAGTTAAAGATTTAGTATCACTTAAGTTACTCTGTGTTGGAACATACAACGATCGTAGATTTTTTTTAATTTAAAGAATTTGAATGATTCAGAGGGCAACTAGAGTACTGAAGACATTAGGATTTGAATTTCGTTTCAAAAATAATCATCTAACTAGGTTTTCTAAGTATAGTCAGATCAAAACAAGTTTACATAGATCTATTGACTTTTCCTATCTAAACCAGATAGAAGAATTATCGTTTTGTTTTCATTTTAAATGTTTTGTATTTCAAAGAACACATAGGCACTTTTTGTTATTGCTATGTTCAAAATTAGTCTCAGTTTATTTGGTAGTGAATCAATAATTCTGGAGATAAACATGTTTTCCTGAAGAATTAGCAGTAAATTAATCGGTGTTTTGAGTCGTTAATTTTGTAGATTTCTCTTATGATCGAATATTATCTACAAAATCCAGTGCTTGATTTGATTAATAATTGGTTTTACGATTAAAATAATTGATAACTATTAAGAAATAACACTTAGCATTATAAGCAAAGATAGATAGTGGAATTCAGGACGAACGTTTCATCCTATCTGGGAATCGTCAGCTGGATGTACCTGCATCTTCGAGTTGATGTTGACTCTAGGACTCTAACTCGGTACCATCCCCTTCAAATGTCATCGCCTTATCCACTTAACTACTAAGTCCTGATAGCCACTTGCTTGTGAAATGGGATGAAGTTTAAATTCACTTAGCATTGTCACATCCCTTCATTTTGTTAACGTATTTTAATGAAAAACGGCAAGAAAAACGGTAATGTTATAATATAGAACTTTGTACAGAAATAATAATTTCGACTGAATATCTGTCAGGTAACCCTCAAAGTTCCCAAAGTTCATGAATTTAGAAACTGTATTTATAGAGGAAAAGGTATGTTAATTAATTATCTTAATGTTATCTAATCCTTAGTGTTAACAAAATTTTATCCAGTAATTATGTGAAGCATTCAATAAACTTTTCACATCATTTGAATTGCTCATTGATAACATCACTAATTGTGAGCGCTAGACAACTGAGATCCCAGCGTGTGAATAGAAATCAGTTTCACGTAGATTTCATGTACATCTTACTCACATGTGTCAATAAGTACAACCTCTATTAATAGTTATCTGTTATTTGCTTTCAGACATCTGTTAAAAAAAATCTATTAGCCAAAGAAAACATAGTGGCACAAGTTCCACTATCTTACTGTCTAGGTAATTAGGAGTGCTAGCAAGTTCACCTCGGACTTATTAAAAGAAAAGCAAATTTGAAACAAACTATCTAGTATTGGGTGATTACTTAGATGATTTCATTGGAGTCTTTTTCTAGATATATGTGAATAGAGCAAGAAGTAAACTTGTATGATAGTTGCTTGTAACCTTATTCGAAGTGAAAATAAATACTGGTTGTATCAAGAGAAAACATAATGTAAGAAAACCAAATTATTGACAGAATTGTGGTAAAAAAACCTTTGATTCATTAGTTGATACAGTTTTGAAAATGAATTTAACATCAGACTTTAATATTCTCTTATCTTTTTTTCGTTATCTAAAAGAGTAATAATCTAAACTGTCCAGTAACATTGCTTTTGCTATCTATGAGGAGGAACCTCGAGACTAGTATTATTTATCTTTCAGGTTGATTAGGAAAAATATTGATTTTCAGTACGACGCATAACTAGCTTTCATAACCTGCAATTTTAAGACATGACAATAGAAATTATGTTCATTCTAATGATTAACTTACTGGTTTACTTACGCCTTTTACACCTCGTGGAGGAGCGTGTGCCTCCTACTAGAATTCTCTAGCCAACTCTGGCCTGGGAAATCCTTTAAATTGCTGTCCATCATTTCCATATCTCCTACCGATTCCCGATGCATTATGTTCTTTGGTCTTCCTTTTTCCGTTTCTCCTCAGGATTCCAATTCAGCGCTTGCCTGGTGATGCAGATTGGTGATTTCCTCAATGTATTTCTTGTCCACTTCTAACGTCTTTTGTTAATTTCCTCCTCAGCTCAAACCTGGTTTGTTCTCGGCCACAGTAGACTGTTGCTGATTATAACCAGTCAACAGGCATTGAGTATCTTACATAGAAAACTGTTTACAAATACTTGTACTTTTATGATTGTGGTTGTAGTAGTTCTGAAAGTTTCAACTGCATACAGTAGAACTGCCTTGACGTTTGTATTGAAGATTATGACTTTGATATTGGTTGAGAGAAAGTTGTTTTGAGTTGGATGTGTTGTTCAACTGTAGGGATGCTTGCCTTACTTTGCCAATCATTGTCTCTACGTGTGCATCAGATTCTCCACGTTCAACGATGATACTGTCCAGATGGGCACATGAATGTTTACACCTATTGCAGAGATTCTCCATCAAGTGCGATTGTATTGTTGTTCTCCATGTTGTGTTTGAGGATGTTTCTTCTGCCCTTGTTGCAGAGGCTGCTGCTGCTACTACAATACTTGTCTTGACCTGCATTCGTTTGTGTGTATGGGATGGAAAGTGCTAGGTGATTTGTGAAGTTCAAATTGTCTAGTTGCATGCCAGTCGTCCATTGTATTACGTGCTTCCCGTCAGATGTGGAGGTCTTTCTAATCCAGTCGACCACCAGAAGCAAGAGAAAGGCGAGAGAGAAAGAGTAAGCAGCGTTGTTTGACTGCGGTCTTTACTTGGAAGATGCCTGTCATCTGTCCTCCATGCATCACTTTGCAGTGTAGTTCGTTGTATGAATTCCAGATGATGTTGATGATATTTCCAAGTACTCACTCCATAGTCTCGAAGAAGTTTCCATGAGGTTCTTTTATTCACACTGTCAAATGCTTTCTTATAGTCAAGGGAATTGGTGTATAGTGACAAGTTACATTTAAATGATTGTTCAATGATGATCCGTGGTGTAACGATTTGGTCTGTGCACGACC